CCCCAAAACCCCAAAACCCCAAAACCCCTAACATAAGTTTGAATGTTAAAGTGATTGAGAGAAAAAAATATGATTGATTCAATATTTTATTTGTATTGGTTTGAATATCAATTTATTAGCGATTTCCCAATTATTAGAGTCCTTTTATGATATTTCTTGGGAGAACATTTTAAATTTTATTTATTATTAAATGGGTACCCTAATACATATAAATATCTCCCTCAATATCTCTCGTTAACTTAACTTGCTAGAAAGTTGAAGTAGATCAGGGGATGATAAGGGAAGAATTTCATAGGAAGTTTGAAGTCTTTAATTATGAATAAACCTTGAATTAATAGTTTAATTGATAAATAATAGAGTAGTTTAAGGTTAGAGGCTAGCCAACCGTTTGAATTTAATTATTATATAAGGGGTTTAGACATTAAAGATTTATATTAAAAAATTAGAATAGTAGAGCAAATGGACCTACTTTCAAAGAAAGATCTTACAAAGGATGAGTACATCTTAGCCCACGTTCTCTTCATCTTCGGAATGAAGAAACTGGGAGGTGAAAAGATCTCAAAGATCATACAAAACGAAGAAAACAAGTAAGTACTATAGTTCAGATAGATCGAGCTGTGGCTTCGTCAATCTTTCATTAGTCTCTCAGCCATTCTTTTCCTCCATCTTTCCATAGTAACGGCCCACTTAACTATTAAATAGGACTGCGTTTAAGGAATTCTACAACATCGGACCCTTCCTGTTCGCCATCTCATCAGGAGATAGTGTTAGTTTCCAGAACGATGTGCCTCCTCTGGACAAGCTTAAGAAAAAGGTAGTGCTAGTAATCAAAGCTAGACAAGACAAGACTGTCGACATCACTGATTCAAATGTCGCCAAGGAGGTTATCATGATGGAAGTCAACAGAAGCATCCTAGAGAATCTCTACCTCATCTGTCAAGTAACAATTACTCACATCCTTAATCTTGCAATAGGAGGTTTACATGCCTGTTCTTGGAAACCCTCTAAACTAGATTGGGTGGTCAGATCTAGTGTCTAAGGACCTCATGGATAAGTTCCACAACTTCCTCGCCCACACCTACGTCACTATCGGTCAAATCAAGGGCAGAACTCTGCTTCCCCTTCCCCCCAACGATGTCACTTCCTCAGAGAAGACATCCAGCAAAGACAAGGCTCACATTCTTGAAGGTATCTTTCTTAATTATTTAAGCGAGGGATTTAATTTAAATTTATTTAGGCGCTATTATTACCTGGACCAAGCAAATCAAGAACGTCCTCAAGCAAGATCCTGAGAGTGCTCTCAAGGGAGACAAGCACCCAGATCCAAACACCGAAATTGAGTTCTGGAAGAACAAATCAGATAACTTGAATTCAATTTGCGACCAAATGAACTCTGAGAGAATCAAGAAAGTCCTCAAGTTCTTAGAACAAAACAAGTCCACCTACACTGGTCCCTTCAGTAAACTCCAAAAAGAAGTACAAACCGCTAAATCTGAAGCTAACGAAAACTATAAGTATCTCTTAACCCTCAGACCTCTGTTCGATCAGTTGACTGACAGCGGTAAGGATTTCACTGAGATCCCAGATCTATTCCCACAAATCATGCACGTTATCCTCTTGATCTGGAAATACTCACCTAACTACAACACTCCATCAAGACTTGTTGTCTTGATTAGAGAGATCTGCAATGCCATCATCAACTAATGCAGAAACTTCATTGATGGAGAGAAGATCTTCGGCTACATCAAGAACGAAGAGCCAAAGGAAGCTCATGACAAGCTAACCCTCGCTCTAGATGTATGTTCCAAGTTCAAGGACGCCTACTTCGAGTACAAAGCCAAGGCTCAAAACACATGGAAAATCACAACTAACGCACTCTTTGTAAGATTAGATTCTTTCTCAGAGAGATGCCAAGACATCATGCACTTGACCAGCACAATCATTCAGTTCAACAAGTTGCAAAAGATTGAAATCGGTAACACCAAGGGTAAGCAACTCACCTCATCAGTCATCTAAATCTTCGACGAATTCAACAAAGCCGTTGACGAATTCACAATGGTCTCATACGACATTATGGACATTGAGAAGAGACAGTTTGATGATGACTTCTACAAATTCAGAGGCAGAATAAAGGAGCTCGAAAGAAGACTCGGTTCAATCCTCACTCAAGGTTTCGACGATTGTGACACCATTATTGGCAAATTCAAGCTTTTGGACTCATTTGAAGGTCTTTTGAACAGACCAATCATTTAAGATGAACTTGAAAAGAAACATATTACTCTTTTGGAATTATATAAGCAAGATCTTAAGACTGTTCAGTCAATCTTCCTGGAAGGAAAGGCTTTAGTAGATAAGATAGATGAAAAAGCACCTATTCCAAACAACTTACCACCTATTGCTGGTGCTCTTAACTGGACCAACGGTCTATTCGAAAGAATCAAGGAGCCAATGGAGCGACTTTCCACTCTTTCACAGTCAATCTAAGACAGAGAAGAGTACAAAGATGTTTAAAAGCTATATGCTTCAATCTGCAAAAACCTCAGAGAATTTGAGGACCAGAAAATTAAACAATGGGAGCAAGGTGTTGAAGAATCAACTGATGACAAACTTAACCAGTTCCTCCTCCACAGAGATGAGTCTGATAACTCAGAAGAGGGATACCTTAAAGTTAACTTCGACCCCGTGTTAGTTAGACTGCTTAGAGAAGTCAAATATTTGTCACTTTTGGATATCGACGTTCCCGAAAGAGCTTCCAAGCTTTATATTAAAGTTAATGTCTACAGAAGCTAAACAGGTAATCTCGAACTCATCGTTAACATGTATAATGAAATTCTCGCCACCCTTTTACCAGTTGAAAAGCCACTACTTGCAGACAGAATTGATAGAATCAACAAAGCCCTTCAACCAGGTATTGACCAACTCAGATGGAACTCACCAAACATCGATCCATTCATCAATCAATGCATGATGATTGTTAAAGAAGTCGATGAACTCGTGAAAAAGATGAAGGAAAATGTCAAGAAGATGCAAGAAATGATGAATAAATGGGAGAAATCACTCTTCGAGAGAAGAAACAAGCCCATGCCACCCGATGATCTAGAACAAACTCATCAGAGTACTGTTATGCCAAGACTTGAAGATATTAGAAACAATGGTAAAGAAATTCATAGACTTATGAAGGATACTGCAGATAACATTAAGCCTGATAAGAAATCACCAACATGGCTTGCCTACATCGACTACGTCAACGGTTTAGTCATTGAAGGTATCACCAAGGGTATCAATGGATCAATGAACTACCTTTCAGATCAGATCAACATTCACTATAACAAACACCACCAACTTCCACCAATGTTCGACATCAAGGTTGAACTCAGAGACAGAGAAGTTAAATTCGACCCACCCATTGAGAGCACATACAGACAAAACGGTATCAGAGACATCATCATGAAAATCGTGAACGACTTCATTTCACTTGCCATTCAGATGCCAAGACTCGACACCAACAATGGAGATTACTTGGTCGAAATCAAGGATCAGTTCGATCTCTTCTGCTCAATGCAAGTCATCAACAACCACCTCTATGAAATCGAAGAGGCCACTCAAAACTTCATCCTTCAATACAAGGAACAAGAGTTCCTCTGGAAGGAAACCCTTGCTGCTAGCTTCACTGCTTTCCTTGAACTTGGAGATGACCCAAGAGAGAAATCTAAGGGCAGCAAAAAGACCAACGCTGACGGAGAGGAGGAAGAGGATGAGACATTCAAATGGATGGCTGACAAGATCCTCCAAGGAGTTCAAACAAAGAAACCAAACCTCGACTTATTCGATGAGAAGATTACCTATCTTACCAAGGTTAAACACCAAATTTCAGAGATGAAACAAACTGTTGATATCGGCTGGTTGAAGGTTAACTCAGTTCCTCTTATCAAGGACTTAAACAGAATCGTGCAAGACTGGATTGAGCAATACACCAGTTTCTTGCTCCAAAACACTTTGATCGAAATCACCAACATCCAGAAGTTCATTGACGAGGTCACCTCAGGTATCAAAGTGCTACCAGAAGGTTCAGAGACCAAGAGAGAGAAGGAACTGCTTATGCAAGTCATGACTCACTTGAGAGATGTCAAGATGATCAAGGATAGAACCCTAGACGAAATCGAGCCAATGAAACAAACCATCATGCTCCTCAAGAAGCATCAAGTCAAGATGGAGGACGACTACCTAGTCAAACTTGAAAACTCAAAGACTGCTCTCGTTGAAGTCAGTGAAAAGGCACTTGGCCCAGTCAAGGAAGCCATCCTACCTCTTCAAAACCAAGAAGCTGGAAACATCAAGAAAAAGCTTTCAGACTTTGCCAAGAGAGTCATGGAATTCAGAGTCAAGTTCCAAAACAACTGTCCATACCACGTTGAAGACTCCTCAATTCAAATCATTGATAATGCTTACGCTGTGATTAGTCAATTCTTTGACGAGACCGGAGAAATGGAAGAAGATGCTAGATCTCTTAACAACTTAGAGACTCTCTTCGATCTCCAAAAATCATCCTACAAGCAATTGAAAGACTGCAAAAATGAGCTACTCTCCCTTAAATACATGTGGGATCTCATTTCACTTATTGATTTACAATTCGAAGCCTGGAAGTCAACTCTCTGGGACAAGATCGACACAGATCAACTTATGCAATTGATTAAGGAAATGCAGACCAAGCAAACCAATCCACAAAACCCATAAAACAAGGAAATCAAAAACTGGAAAGCATTCACTGCTCTCAACGATAGAGTCAAGAACATGAACACTATCCTTCCATTGATTTCTCAACTTCACTCTAAATTCATGCAAGACAGACATTGGAAGAAACTGATGAAGATCACAGGCAAGTCCATCAACTTCAACTCTCCAAACTTCTGTCTCGAAGACCTCATTAAGCTCCAACTTTACAACTACTCAGAAGAGGTCACTGAATTGGTCGACGGAGCCCAAAAGGAGGCAAAGATCGAGACCAACCTCGCCAAGATTGAAAGAATCTGGGAGGAACAGAAATTCGAGTTCAAGGACTACAAGGACACTCAAATCCTCGGAGCTCTTGATGAAATCGTCGAGTTTGTCGAAACCCACTCTATGGAACTAATGGGAATGATGTCTTCTAAGGATGTTGAAGAATTCAAGGAGAAAGTGCTCCACTGGCAAAAGACACTCAAGACTGTTGACTCAGTCATCTAAATTTGGGTTAAGGTGCAAAAGAACTGGCAAAGACTCGAACCCATCTTCTTGGCATCAGAAGATATCAGAGCTCAACTACCAGACGATACCAAGAGATTCGAAAAGATCGATATCGAATGGAAAGACATGATGAGAGAGGCCAGTGAGGAACCAGGAGTTATCCAAGCTGCCACTTATGAAGGAAGAGAAGAACTTCTTAACACTTTCTTCTCAGAAATTGAACTTTGCGAGAAAGCGCTGAACGAATATCTTGAGCAAAAGAAAAAGATCTTCCCAAGATTCTATTTCGTCTCTAACTAAGCTCTTCTTGATATTCTGTCAAACGGTAACAACCCAGAAAAGGTCGACGAGTATCTAGGAGATTGCTTCGATGGTATGAAGGGACTAGACTTCATAAAAGGACCAGGCGAAGTTGTTCCAGCAAAGAGAGCAAAGGGTATGTGGTCTAAAGAGAAGGAATACGTTGCATTTGCTGATCCATTCGTTTGCAATGGTGCTGTAGAAAACTATCTCTGCGATCTTGAAAAGAAGATGCAAGTTACTCTTAGAGATATACTTGAAATTGCCAAAGGAACTGCTGACCTCTGGGAGCTAGAGAAGAAGAGGCATGAATGGCTAGAAGACTACTGCGCTCAGATCTCACTTCTCGGTACTCAAATCCTCTGGACTGAAGGAGTCTCAAGAGCATTCGATGAACTAGAAGGAGGTAGTGAAGGTGCTATGAAGGATTACCTAACCACCATTCTCCTCGGTATCAAGTACTTGATTGATAGAGTTAGACAAGATCTTTCATCAGAACTCAGAATCAAGATTATTACCATCATTACTATTGACGTCCATGGAAGAGATGTCGTTGACAACTTCTGTCTTAAGAGAATCCAAGACTCACAAGCCTTTGCTTGGTAATCTCAACTTAAGTTCTATTGGGAAATGAAACCATAATCCAAACCAGATGATAAGAAGACTTGTATCTCAAGAATTTGCGATTGGATGACTCTTTACAACTACGAGTATGTTGGTAACTGTGGTAGATTGGTTATTACTCCCCTTACTGATAGATGTTATATCACTCTTACTTAAGCCCTTAACTTAACTATGGGAGGTGCTCCAGCTGGTCCAGCCGGTACTGGTAAAACTGAGACAACTAAGGATCTCGGAAGAGCCCTGGGTCTATAAGTCGTCGTCTTCAACTGTTCAGATCAAATGAACTATCAATCTATGGCTCAAATTTTCATGGGTCTCGCCTAAACTGGTTCTTGGGGTTGTTTCGATGAGTTTAACAGAATCTCAATTGAAGTGTTGTCTGTGGTCTCCACTCAAGTCAAGTACGTCCTTGACGCCCTAAAGGAAATGAAGCACAACCCAGCCAAGAACATGTTTATGTTCCAAGATGAGGAAATTCAACTTAAAATCACTGTCGGATTCTTCATTACTATGAATCCAGGTTATGCTGGTAGAACTGAATTGCCAGAAAACTTGAAGGCCCTTTTCAGATCCTGCGCTATGGTCGTCCCAGATATCGTGCTTATTTGCGAAAACATGCTTATGTCTGAAGGTTTCACCTCAGCCAAGGATCTATCAAAGAAGTTCATGACCCTCTATGATCTTGCTAAGAGTTTGTTGTCCAAGCAAATCCATTATGATTGGGGTCTCAGAGCTGTGAAGTCTGTGCTTAGACAAGCCGGTAAACTGAAGAGAGAAGATCCAGATATCTCAGAAGATCCAATTCTCATGAGAGCCTTGAGAGATTTCAACTGGCCTAAGATCGTCGTCGATGATAGACAAATCTTCTTGGGTCTTATCAAGGATCTCTTCCCAGGTATTGAAGCTGAGTCAAAAGTTAATCAAGAACTTAATAAATCAGTAAGCAAAGTAGCTAAAGCTGCAGGTCTTCAATCAGAAGAAGGTTTCGTTTTGAAGTGTGTGCAACTTGCCGAAATTCTCGAAGTGCGTCACTGCTGCTTCATTATTGGTAACTCAGGTTGTGGTAAATCAGCTGTATGGAAGACATTAGCTGCTGCTATTGCCAGTCAAGGAAATGAGACCATTTATGATATCACTGATCCAAAGGCTGTTACATCAGATGAGCTTTTCGGTTGCATGAACCCTAAGACCAAGGAATGGAAAGATGGAGTATTGTCTGTCATAATGAGAGATATGAACAAAAACAATGGACCATACAGACCAACTCAATTCTACAAGTGGATTATTCTCGATGGTGATGTAGACCCTGAGTGGATTGAGTCCCTTAACACTGTCATGGACGATAACAAAGTGCTTACTCTTGTGTCCCAAGAGAGAATCCCACTCACTCCAGAAATGAGACTCTTACTTGAGGTCTCCAACTTGAGAAACGCCACTCCTGCCACTGTCAGCAGAGGTGGAGTCCTGTTTATCAACGATACTGATGTCGGCTGGAAGCCATACTTCGAGTCTTGGATGCAAAAGTTCAAGAAGAAGAATGATGAGTACGCCATGAACGTCTTCACTCTTGCCCTCGCCTAATATCTAGGTGACACCTTCCTCGAAGACCAAAAGGGAAGAGAAAAGATTGCTCCTACTTGTGATATGGCTCAAATTCAAACTTTGACTTGCATCATTGATGCTCTTTACAACGATCTCTATTCAAGAAAAGACTATCACGATCAAATCAAGTAACTCAAGGAAGCTGGTAAAGAAGAAGAAATCAAACAAATCTATGAAGCTTACTTTGTGTTTGCTGTTATGTGGAGTTTCGGTGCCCCACTTACTGAAGACAAGATTTCCTTCAATGGATACATCAAAGCTCAATCAAAGATTAAGTTCCCAGAATAAGGTCTCTGCTTCGATTACTACTACGACCCAATTAGTCTTGGATGGGTTCACTGGAGCACAAAGGTTAAGAAGTATGAGCCTGGAGATGGTCTATTCCTCAATATTGTCGTCCCAACTGCTGAAACCACTAGACAAAGATTCATCCTAGACATGCACGTAAAAGCTAAGAAGGGTGTTCTCTATGTCGGTTCTGCTGGTACTGGTAAGACCACTATTATCAAGGACTACTTCTCAACTCTCGACAAAGAATATGTCCTCAATGCCTCAATCAACTTCAACAGTTATACTGATTCCAAGGCACTTCAAGTCGTTATTGAGTCAAACGTCGATAAGAGAGCTGGTAAGACCTTCGGTCCCCCACCCAACAAGACTCTCATCTATTTCATGGACGATCTTAACATGCCATACGTCGATAAGTACGGAACTCAATCCCCCATCTGTCTGATCAGACAAATCATTGATTACGGTATTATCTATGATAGAGATCACTTAGAAGAGAAGAAATACTTGGTTGACTGCATGTTTACTGCTTGTATGAATCCAAAGTCTGGTTCTTTCTTCGTCGATATCAGACTCAGCAGACATTTCTCCCTCTTCTCATGCCTGACTGCTGAGAAAGAAATCCTCACCACTATCTATCATCAAATCTTAGATTCACACTTGTGCACATTCGACGCACAATGCGCAAACTTGACACCAAAGATCATCAACGCTACTATGACTGTCTTCTTGGCCATCGCTACATCACCACAGTTTATGCCTACAGCTAAGAAGTTCCATTATCAGTTCAACTTGAGAGACTTCTCCAAGATTGTTCAAAACACCATGCTCGCTCAGGCAGCTCACTACAGAGGCAACTCTCTCGGATTAATCAGACTCTGGGCTCATGAGTGCATGAGAGTCTTCTACGATAGACTCATCTTTGATGAAGATAGAGAAGTATTCATGGGATTTTTCAAGAACTCTCTCAGAGAATTCGAGTTCAAGGAAGACCAAATTCTTGAATTGCCAAACATTTACACTTCATTCGTTTCAGCTTCAGAGGGTCACGAAAAAGCTTATCTTCCAATCAGAGACATGCAACACTTGAAGAATGTACTTGAAAACAAACTTGCTGAGTACAATGAGCAAGTCTCCTCAATGAACCTCGTGCTTTTCGATCAAGCTATGGAGCACATTTCCAGAATCGCTAGAATTATTGACTTACCAGTAGGAAACGCACTTCTAGTCGGAGTCGGTGGTTCAGGTAAGCAATCACTGTCCAAGCTGTCTGCCTTCATCTTAGGTTATGATGTCGTCAGAATCGTCGTCACCACCAGTTACAACATGGCTGACCTCAAAACTGATATCCAAAACATGTATCAAAAGGCTGGAGTCACTGGATCTCAAATCCTCTTCATCTTGACTGACTCTCAAATTACTGATGACAAGTTCCTCGTTTACATCAATGATATCCTTTCATCTGGTTGGATTCCAGAATTGTTCCTGAAAGACGAGCTCGATGGTATCTTAGGTAAAGTAAGAGCTGAAGCCAAGAATGCAGGTTACCTCGACACCCCAGATCAACTCTTCGATTTCTTCATGGACAAAGCAAGAAAGAACTTCCACATGGCACTTTGTTTCTCCCCAGTCGGAGATACCTTCAGATTCAGAGCCAGAAAGTTCCCAGGTATTATCAACTGTACCTCAATGGATTGGTTCCACGAGTGGCCAAGAGATGCCTTGATTGATGTCGCCACCAGATTCCTGAATGACGTTGAATTACCATTCGATGAACTCAGAGACCAAATCGCCAACCACATGGCAGAAGTCCATCTTTCAATTGGTGAAGCCAACTTGGACTTCTTACAAATGGAGAGAAGATTCAACTATACCACTCCCACTTCTTATCTCGAGCTTATCAGCTTCTACAAAATTTTACTTGACAAGAAGAGAGACAAGATCTCAGATCAGATCAACAGACTCGAAATCGGTCTTCAGACCATGAAGAGCACCACTGAACAAGTCGAGGGTCTGCAGAAGTTGCTCGAAATTAAGATGGTCGACGTAGAGAAGGAGAAAGAAAAGACCAACGAACTTATTGAAATCGTCGGAAGAGAGTCACTCGACGCCGAAAGAGAACAAGACATTGCCAGAGCTCAAGAAGACGAAACTTCAAAGCTAGCTCAAAATGCAGAAAACGAAAAGGGTAAGGCTAACAAGGAGCTTGAAGAAGCCGTTCCTGCCATGAAGGCTGCTGAGGAAGCCGTCGCTTGTCTTGATAAGAAATCAATTCAAGAGCTTAAGTCTCTTGCCAACCCACCTGCTCAAGTGTTCGACGTATCAAAGGCTGTTCTGCTATTGAAAGGAGAGAAGAAGAACTTCGCTTGGGCCAACGCTCAAAAGATGATGAATAACCCGCAAAAGTTCATTGAAGATATCTAGGCATTCGATGGTTCTAACATCGATCAATGGATTCTAGATCAACTTGCCCCAATCATTAAGCAAGAGCATTTCACTTTCGAAATCATGAAGGGCAAGTCACTCGCTGCTGCCTATCTCTGTAAGTGGATCTGTAACGTCGTTATCTACAACACAATCTACAAGAAGGTCAAGCCTCTCATGGATACCGCCGAAGCTGCAGAAGCCATTGCTAACGAAAAGAGAGCTGAGCTCGCTATTGTCCTCGAAAGAGTCAGAATCATTAATGAAAAGGTCGATGCTCTTAAGCAAAAACTGTTTGAAGCCGAAGAAGCTAAGAGAAGAGTGGAGGAAGAAGCTCAGAGCTTGTAAGATCAACTCAACTTGGCTAACAGACTTACTGGAGGTCTCGCTGATGAAAACAAAAGATGGGGAGAGAACGTGACAACCTACAAGCACGAGAGAATCACTATGATTGGAAACGCCCTAGTCTCAGCTGCTTTCGTCTCATATATTGGACCATTCTCATTCCCCTTCAGACAAAGACTATGGAAGGACACCTGGATTCCAGATATTATCTCAAAGAAGATTCCATTCACTGAGGGAGTTGACCCACTTAAGGTACTTGCCAATGATGCTGATCAAGCCAAATGGAAGACTGAAGGTCTTCCAGCAGATAGAGTGTCTCTTGAAAACGCCTCAGTCATCGTCTCATGTAAGAGATATCCACTAATGATCGATCCTCAACTCCAAGGACAAAAGTGGATCAGAGGTAGAGAGGGTAACGAACTCCAAGTTATTCAACTCTCGCAAAGAGGTTGGTTAAAGAAAGTCGAAATGGCTGTCACCAACGGTTCAGTCCTTATGATTGAATCCTTAGGTTAAGAAATCGATGCAATCTTGGATCCTCTTCTTTCTAGACAGTTTGTGAAGAAAGGTAAGATGTTCACAGTTAAACTCGGATCCGAAGATGTTGAACTCTCACCAACATTCAAGCTTTACTTGCAGACAAAACTCTACAATCCTCATTACAAGCCAGAAACAGCTGCTCAGTGTACCATCATTAACTTCATCGTCACAGAGGGAGGTCTCGAAGATCAACTTCTAGCTATGGTCGTCAGAGTAGAGAAACCAGATCTCGAGCAAACTAAGGAAGAGCTTGTGAACAAGCAAAATGCTTTCTAAATTGATTTGGCCAAACTTGAGGATGAACTACTCAAGAACTTGTCAGACGCTGACCCAGCTACCATTCTCCAGAACAAAGATTTGATTGAGTCTCTTGAAAACACAAAGAAAACTTCAACTCAAATTCAAAAGCAATAAGCTGAAGCCAAAGAAACTGAAATCAAGATTAACTTCCTCAGAGAAGTCTACAGAAGAGTCGCTGCAGAGGGTGCCATGCTTTACTTCTTACTTATTCAACTCTGTATTGTTGATCACATGTATCAGTACTCTCTAGAGTCCTTCGTTACTTTCTTCTTCAAGGCCATTGAAAAGACTGAATAATTCGATGAAGAAGAGCCAAGAGTGTTAGCTCTTAGAGAAATGATCAGAATGACCATCTATCAATGGGTATCCAGAGGTCTGTTCGAAAAGCATAAGCAAATCTTCTTGGGTCAACTTACATTCAGACTCATGCAAAAGAGCATCCTTGAAGTTGACTATACCCTCTAGCAAATGAGTTTCCTACTAAGATGCCCAATTAAGACTGACTCAGTCAATCCACTCAAAGAATGGCTTCCAGATCTCGCTTGGTACAGTGTCCAAAGACTTATTGAAATTGAAGGATTTGAATCATTCGCTCAAAACCTTGAAAAAGAAGCCCCAACTAGATTCAGAGATTGGTACAATGAACTCTAACCAGAGAGCGAGAAACTTCCACTAGACTGGAAGAAACTCGAGACCATGCCATTCCAAAAGTTATTGGTTATCAGATGTCTCAGACCAGACAGAATCACCACTGCTCTTGATAACTTCATTAGAAGAACTATTCCAAACGGAAACAAATATGTAGATTGCGATTCTACAAGCAGTTTCTTCTAAGTATTGGTATCAGCTTACTTGGATTCAACTCCAACCACACCAATCTTCTTCATCTTGTCCCCAGGAGCCAATCCAGTTAAGGATGTAGAACAACTTTGCAGAAAGAACGGTGTTGACCCCAACAAATATCTTCACACTGTCGCCCTCGGCCAAGGTCAAGATATCGTAGCCATGAACAAACTTGAAATCGGCCACAAGGAAGGTCACTGGGTCATGTTGCAAAACATTCACTTGATGCCCAGATTCTTGATTGAACTCGAAAAGAAACTTGATGTTTATGCCGTTGAGGGATCCCACCCCAACTTCAGACTCTATTTGTCTTCAGATCCAAGCAATGAAATTCCAATTGGTCTTCTTGAGAGATCAATTAAGTTGACAAACGAGCCTCCTCAAGGTCTCAAGCAAAACATGAAGAGAGCCTTCACCTTCTTCACCAAGGAAGATATTGAGGATAAAGATCCAAAGATCAAGACCATTCTCTTCGCTCTCTGCTATTTCCATTCAGTCATGATTGAGAGAAGAAAGTTTGGACCTAAAGGTTGGAACATGCATTATCCATTCAACATGGGAGATCTTAGAGATTCAGCTATCGTACTTCAAAACTATATGGAGCAAAACGCTGCAAGTGGAAAGATTCCATGGGATGATCTTAGATACATTTTCGGAGAGATCATGTATGGAGGTCACATTGTCGACGATTGGGACAGAAGATTCTGTAGCGCTTATCTAGAGAACCTCATGCAAGATACCCTTCTTGACGAGGCAGAGCTCTTCCCCTTCATTGAAGGCAAGGGTATTACCTTCAAATGTCCTCCACCTCTCGGCTATGAGAAATATATTGAATATCTTGAGACAGAGGTGCCAGGCGAGACTCCTCTTGCTTTCGGTATGCATCCAAATGCTGAAATCGATTTCAGAACCAACCAATGTGTTGTGCTTTTCAGAACACTTGTCGAACTCCAACCAAAGGATTCAGGCAGCTCCGGAGAAGGAGGCGGTGGCGGAAAGCAAGAAAAGATCCAGGAGTTCATGCACAGAGTTAACGACGAAGTCCAACTCGACCAGAACAAGCTGAACATTGAGGATATTGCCTCAAAGATGACTGATGAGAGAGGTCCTTACCAAAACGTGTTCCTCCAAGAGTGCGAGGTCATGAACGTGCTCATCAATGAAATCCTAAGATCACTGCAAGAAATCGAGCTATCATTCAAGGGAGAGCTGACAATGACTGAGAAGATGGAGCAACTTATGGACGCTATTTTCCTTGATAAAGTGCCAGCCACCTGGGCTAAACTTGCCTTCCCCTCAACAAGAGGACTCGGCTCATGGCTCGACAACTTAAAACACAGACTCGATCAACTCAACCTCTGGAAAGAAGACCCATCAAAGGTCCCAACTGTTATCTTCTTGAACAGACTCTTTAACCCACAGTCATTCTTGACTGCCATCAAGCAAGTGTACGCCAGAGACAAGCAACAAGAGTTGAACAGACTTTACATCCAAACCGATATCACCAAGAAACTCTATTGGGAGCAAGATCTACCACCTGTTAAGGAAGGAGCTTACATTTTTGGATTCCACGTAGAAGGTGCAAGATGGGAGTCATCAGTAGGTCAACTTGAGGAGAGTTTGCCCAAGAAGCAATTCAGTGTAGTGCCAGTTGTCAACTGCAGAGCTCAACTCATCCCAACTGACGGTAAGGAAGAAAAAGGTGTGTATCAATGCCCAGTTTATAAGACTGAAACCAGAGGTGCCACTTACGTCTTCACTGCCCAACTAAAGACCAAGGCTCCACCTCAAAAGTGGATTCTGGCTGGAGTCGCTATTATTCTTGATGTTGAAGGTGTCGCAGATGCCTACGCTCCAGGTAAAGAAATTGGTCTCGCATGAGAAAAATATCACATCATTTAAGTTACTATATAATTTAAAGATAATATTCTATCAACATAAACTTCTTCAAATTTATTATATCAATAATAATCACTTAGATTTATTACTATATTTTATTGCTACTTTCTCTTTATTTAGTGTATTATATTCATTGGGGTTTTGGGGTTTTGGGGTTTTGGGG